CACACACACACACACACACACACACACACTAGATTTCTACCGGGTCTGGGCGCTGAAACTTTCCGAAATCACAAAAGAGTTCCCCCTACCGGGTCTGTATACTTCGTGACTTTGTTCCCGGTTACCGGGTCTGTATACACTTCGTTTTTTTTTTAATCTTAAGAGAATCTTGTAAAAATGGGTGGTTGTAGGGTGTTTCTTGTCTGTCTCATTTTTGTTTGTTTAGATTGTCTTGTAAATGTGAGCGGTTTGAGGTTGTGTCTTGCTGTTTTCGATTTATATGCATTTTGTTAATGTGGGTTTTTGGAAGATGAATTTTTCTGTTTTATTTTCTATCATCGTAAATAAGTGTGCAGTTGGTGTCTGTAGTGTAATGGTTTGACTATGCGTTGGTTGTGGCGATTTATTTGATCCAAAGGCTTTTTTGTTATATGTAGGGGTACTTTTCTTGGGGAGGGGGGTGAGGGGCGAGATAAATGTGCTTCTGGCTGGTTTTGTGTATGTTGGGAGTGTTATGGCCATCCTTCATTCTTTCTTTTCTCGTGGGTGGTTGGAGGATGCTCTGGTGTGGTTTGCTCCTTCTTTCGTATCAAACCTCTATTATCCTTATCTCTCCTTCTTTTTTGTGTTTGTTACTCCCTGGTAACACCTCTAATCTTCGGCACTTATACGACCTTATTGTGTTGCAAGTGCTGTAAGAAGAATAAAAAGAAAATTCCTTTCTCATCCATCTCCTTTAATCAGATCAGTGGCCCAAGTTTTCTGCTTGTTGACTTAATGATTGTGCTGCCTTTGTCTAGTGTGTTTTGAATCTAGAAGGTTGTTAACTTGTTCAGGGAACACACACACACAACGAAACAAACACCCTCCCCCCTTCTAGTTATCTACCCCCATTACCAAAACAACAACAACCGCAACCTAATTGTTCTCCCTGTCTCTTCTGTTTCAGGAATATGTCGACCATGTGCTGACAACTATTTCAAGGCCACCGTGGGTTACAATTTGTGTGAGCCCAAAACGAAGTAAGTTGGGGTGTTGTTTATTCTTTGTTGAAAGTAAGAACAGCTGAATTAAATAATTGTTGGGTAAGACGGAGTTCTGCTGTTTACATATTAAGGAGAAGCAAATTGTTGGAAACAGTTGAACAGGAAAGTAAAATACTGCCTCTGTTCAGAGAAAAGTCTAAAAAAGAGAAAAATAGTAATTGGCTGGATAGGGAACATTCAATGTTATGAGAAATATTTAAGTAAAACATGTCCAATGAAATCAGAAAAATATTCAATGGAATCAGAAGTGAAATGAGAAATACCCAATGAATATGAAAAACCTGATAAGTAGCTAAGAAAAATTATTTTTTGAATTGGGTTTTGAGTTTGACTATGACTTCTAAGTATCTTTTCCTCACCCACTGCCATCTTTGGTCGAACATTTCATCGATGCCTGCAGAAAATGAGTTTGATGCCTGTATGGGGAAGTAATGTTACAGTGTGTTTCCATCTGCCTTCTGGGATGCTGTATTCTTCCTACCACTCGTTGGCCCTGACGAACAGGGTAAAAAATAGACCACCTTTTAAATGACCTGGATTGTGTCAATGAAGCAATAAAACATCTACCTGAGTGGTTGGCTTGTGTTCTCATGTGGTTTGCTTCTTGTTTCCTTTTAAAAATCTATCTTCCTTTGCTCTCCTCCATTAAAAAAAATTATTATCTTTTTTACTGTACATTACTCCCTAGTAACACTGCTAATCTTTGGATTTTATATGACCTATTTGTGTTGCGAGTTCTCTAAAACTCTTACTGAAAGTAAATTAAACTTCTACAATTATTTTAGATATAGTTTTTGATTATGCAACTTTTTCCCCTCCTCCACAGCTGCTCTGCCCTGGGTCTGGACTATACGTTTATGACAGATGCCAGGGCGGACAACAACTGTAGCGAGCCAGAGCCTGTCACCACGCCAAAACCTGTGGTCACAGGTCAGAGTTCTTGTTCTTGGTTTTTTTGCCTCTGTAGTGGAAATATGTTCTGGGGTTACAGAAATAGAGGGAGGGAGAGAGACAGGCAGGCAAGAAGACAGACACATAGACAGACAGAGAGAGGGGAGGGAGAGACAGAAAGAAAGATCAGACAGCAGAGAAGGGGGGTGGGGAGAGGAGAGTGGAATTATGGAGAGAGTGTTTGCATTCATGAGATTTTGGCAGGGCGGTTGGTGTCTCTTATTTCAATTTAGTTTCTGTCTTTTTCTCTGTTCCTGGGGAAATGCAACCGTTATCATACATGCATTCCCAATGAAAGTAAGTGGCAACCTGTTCTTGTGGGTTGTTGGATGATGCCACTGGTAGGTTTAATTTCTTTTCCTTCTCTTGTTGTGTTGTATCTTTTTTTTTTCACACAGAATGACTTTAATTGTGTCAATGAGTTTTTATTTTAAAAAAGCTCCAAACTGATCTGCCTCAATGGAATTAGGTATAGTCATTATCATGTGTATAAACTGACAGTCAACTATATCACTCAACCACATGTGCTGTTGGAGGGTGCTTTGATGTGAATTTCTTCTTCATTCCTGTCAAATATCTATTGTTCTTTCTCTCCTTTTCTTTGTATCTTTCTCTCTAGTAACACCTCAAAGGCACTCCATGACCTATCTGTTTTGCAAGTGCTGTAAAACTACTAAAAATTAAAACAACTCCAGCACTCATAAATGACCTCGTTTCCCCTTCCTGCACCCCCCTACAGAAAAGCCCACATCTGCGGCTGTGAATCCTAAACCTCCTATCTCCCCCAAAGAGAAAACGGTCAGCACTACACCCTCCACCACAGCCAACGATGACCAGGCGCTGACTGGCGCCTCAAAGGGCACCTCGGACCGGGAAGAGGATGGCGAGAGTCACCTGTGGCCCATCATGTAAGTCCCAATACTCACGATACAAATTGAATGAAATCCTTGTTAGTTAGAAGTGGTTTGATACATTTGAGGGTCGCCCAGTTTTGCTTCATTGAGAGGCGAAAGCTACCATTTTGGCACATTTTGATGAAATCCTCCGAAAATCGAACACAACCAAGAACGTTTAATGATCATCATGGCCATCAGCCAATGAGACAGCTACTTTGTGTCATATGACCTTGTTGAGTCAGATTTTTTTTGACTCTCAAAATGGACTTTCGGGTCAGATCTTTTGAAGCAAGGCACTATATATAGTGAGTACTGACCATCGCCATTACATGAACCCTCATTGTCCGATCTTATCATGCACATGGGGTCAATTTGACCTGTGGGCATCCTTTGTAAGTTGCAGGTGAGCCATCTTTCCTAGAGTGCTATCTGTCAGCAGGTGGGATTGATTGTCAGTTGAATGCCACAACGGGTAAAAGTAAAGTTGTATACAACATCCACACCTGCCCCCACCCCACATGTCTCCGTGCAGCAATTAGATCACAGCCTAACGTAGTCTGTTCCTGTGAGACTTGGCTTCACTACTGCCCCACTCACGGTGACCCTGGATCTGGCACTAAGTCAAGCACATTGAAATTTTCAAAATTTTGGATGGAGGGGGAGAGAATATTCCAACTTTACTTTTACCTGATGGGGGCTTTTTTTCCAACTTTATTTTTAGCCAGTAAGGGGTTAACATCTGGTTTGGATTTCTTTTTTCAGTAATCCTTCCTTTTTTGATCAACCACATTGTAAAGGTGCTGTGTCTACAATCATGATTATTTGAATTTGTCTTATTCCCCCCCCCTCCCAAACTTCCCTAGTGGCTCTGTGCTGTTTGTCCTGGTGGTGCTGGCGCTGATAGCCACTGTCATGTGCTACAGGAAAAAGAAAGGCATGACACCTTGTGGATGTGGTAAGTCAAACTTTCACTCTGCTCATTTTCTCTTTCTGTCCTATCTTCATCTGCTCTCCCTTAATCTTTTTTTTCTCCTCTTTCTCATTTTCCTCCCTCTTTTATCACCGCCAGCGTTTGTGGTGAAATGGTTAAAAATTGTAAATAAGGTGAGTTTGATTGCAACTGTGGGAAATTTGTTTTGTTTAAATCTGTCTTCAGTCTTATTTTAAGGATGCAGTATACCTTTCAGCTTGGATTTGTCCTAGTAATATCTTTTGTGTTGATGGGGGCGTATTTGTAACCTGATATAGTTATCTCTCTGAGTTGTACAATCTGCCCCTCCCCTCCCTCAGTACATATTGCTGCGGGAGGATTCTAAACGGCTAACTCAGTTTCTGTAAATTTTACAGGAGAGTGAAAAACTAAAAACTTACGCTATTTAGAATCCAATATTGTAGTAAATATTTGTATCTGTTAATCTAGCTGAAAGTTCTTTATAGGATCTGTTGTGTGATATCAGTTACAATTCAGGGAAAATAAAACAAAACTGTATTTTCTGAGTTCCTTTGTTTAGGGTCCAAAATATTAATAAAAGTCTAAATTAAATAACCAAACGCACCCAATGTCCTACAGTCTCACGTTTTATAAACCAAAAAAAATATTTTTTTAAAAATTATTTTTTTTAAAAAAAGTCTCGCAATCTGTTTATAACCCCCTACACGTAACAATTTTAAAGAATGTCCTACAATCTAACTCTGCTTCCCTCTCACAGACTCCAACAAGAACTGCACAGACGAAGAGAAATACTTCCCTAATGGACCCCCATCCATTCAGGGTGGAGACCACCACAACAAGGTGGGTGTGGGCAATGGAGTCATCCCACAGCACCTGACCTCGGGGGACAAAGTCATGAACAACAACATCAATGGCAGTGGTCATCTTGCGCCGACGGCACCCCACGTCAGAGTACAACATGGCAACAACAGCGATGTGGCTGGGATGTATGCCAACAGTGGCCAGGACAATCTGATGTATGCGCCAGGCAGCCCTCAGCAAAATGTTTACTTCGCACCCTCGGTCGAAAGCATGGCTGCTGGCGGTGGTGGCAGTGGTCGGCCTGGGATTCTCAGGAACGGCCAAAATGGCCGACAACATCATCAGAACCCTCATCAACAGAGAGCCCGGCCAGAGCAGGCTGTGTATGCCCAGGCGGCCTCTCACCCTCACCACGGCCGACCTGCTGACCGCTCGCTGGACAGTATCGCCCGAGAGAAGCTGCACGTCAATGTGGACGGGATGGAGGCTAACCCAGACGCAGGGGAAGACGACCCATTGTTGGTGGTCACAGACAGTCCACGGATTGGGGGAGGAGGGGGAGCTGACGGTGGGGGCTTTCACGAGAGCCAGTTTCAAAATATGGCCGCCACGGCCTCGCCTGGCAACTCTCCGCCCGTCCACCCAGTTGGCGGGATCAACTCGATGAGGTTTATGCCCACCAGCGGGGCTCCGGTGGGTGCTCCCAATGTGACCTTTGTCCCCAGCAGTCGATTAACCCCCACGGTGGCCGTGCCTTCCCCGCCCCCACCCACCACACAGGTGACTTTTGGCCCACCAGGCCGAGTGACCTTCACCCGAAGTACCTCCGTGATCGCCAGTCCGGAGGGGGAGGTGGAGGAGGAGGAGATTGAGGCTCTAGTGCCCAGATTTAGTCAGCTGTTGCCAGACGCGGACGAGGTTAGTGCCTCAGGGTCAGCGATGGCTACAAGCTCCTCGGCTGAGCCAACCAATCCCATTGTACGCATGATGCAGGACAGGGAGATCCTGGCCCGATCAGACTCGCCAATGAGAGAGACCACACAGCAGCTCCGCTCGCCCTCAGAGCGCATACTTCTACACAATCACCACCAACAACCCGCAGCGGCCCACCACAATGTGGGGAATTACCGCGGCGGGCCAGTGGGACACCCAGCCCACCACCATAACCCACAGCAACAGCGTGGGATGGCCCAGCATACAGCCAGAATGCGGCCAGGCTACTCCCCCGTGCCCCCTGTCCGTCAGCCGAGCGAGCGGGAAGATATGCCAGAGCACTACATCATGGACCTGAAGGAGCAGCAGCTGGCTGAGTCGCTTCAGGCCTCCGTGCCCAATAGCCCCGTTGCCATGGAGACGCAGCCGAAAACTGTGCTGGACTCAGAAGGCACCCTGACCACTGCGGTCACAAACGATGAGCGGGAAGTCTCCAAGTTGAGAGATTTGTCCGGGGAGTCAGACCAGACCAAACTCAAGACAGAGACAAACTCTGTGCTCAAAGATACGGGGGACACAGGGGCCAGTGCCGATCAGAAGACGCTTCAGAAGACTGTGGACAGTGATGTGGGATACAAACCCACAATGCCTGCAACCGCTGCCAGTGTAGACGGTAGCCATGTTATTCCGGAGAGAGGAGTTGGTTCTGTGCCGAGTGGGAGTGGTGGGATGGGAGGAGGAGTAGGGGTTGTGGGGTCGACATCAAACACACTGGACAGAAAACGTGCTCCAAGCGGTGGAAGCAATTCTAGTGGACAGAGCACGTTGGAAAGACGACGCACGCCCAGTGGAGAGTTGCAGCAGCATCGCTCGTGTCTGAAGACCTCCGGGCCGGGGGAGGATGGGGTGGTGCTCTCAGGCCAGCAGGCCCGACGACAGATGCAACAGCAGGCCTATGCCAGAACTGTGTCCTTCGAGGAAGAGGAGACGCCTGCCGCGGGCGGGGGTGGGAGTGGTGGGAGGCCCAGGATAGGCCAGAACGCTGAGTCTAGACAAAATTCAAGTGGTTCCAGTTCCAATTCTCAAAGTGGACGTGGCCGCGGTTCATCCCGCTCAGTGTCAGACTCTGAGGACAAGTTTGATCCTGTTGGTGATTCTCCTGGATTATTCCGTGAGCGCGACGGGACCCAGAGCTCTGGCAGCAAGAGTTCAGTGAACAGTGAGCTGAGCGGCTCAGAGAGTAGTCACAGCAGTCCCTCCAGGGTAAGAACCATTTGTGTCTTTTTTTTTTTTAACTAGTAAGAAGGAAGCTGTGTCTTTTGGTTTTGCTTTTTGTTGGCTATTAAAATGAATTCTGTTTTTTCATTGAGTGCTAAACCCGACTCTGACATCAACGGTCGTGTTTTGACCCTCATTCCTCTGCTTGATTGCTCTCAAAAAACATATTTACTTAAAATCAAAGGAATAATAATAATAAAAATGAATAATTTGTGTTGTAAGGTGGTAGCTGGGCGATGAATGCTTTTCCTTGCTATTGTTGCTGGCCTTGGTATGTAATATTTTCAAAATTTTCAAAGTATGATAAGACTGTTGTGCTTGTTTTAAGTTTAATGCTAGCTGTAATAAATAGGCCATTCTGCGGAGAGAGAGAAATCAGGCCTATCATCATTTTCAGAATAATTTCTCTTTTTTTTTCTTCTTCTTTCTCTTACTCATCTACCTTCTCTTCATCTTTTTCATTCTTTTCTTTTTCTTCTTCCTTCTCTTTCTTTTTTTCTTCCTTCTCTTCCTTTTCCTGCTACTTCTCCTCCGACTTTTTGTCCTCCTCTTTCTTTTCTTTATCCTCTTCCTCCTTCTCATTATTCTCCTCCTTCTTATCCAGAGCTATATGTCGGGGCTATCAGCTATAGGTGTAATTGTCCATCTGGTCAGAGCACAATGGCATGCTATTAGTGTAGGGTTCTTTAAAGAGAATTTTTAAATTTATTTATTCAAGGTTCTTTAAAAGTTTCTGTATACTTCACTTCACTTGGGATTGATAGATATAGGATTCCATCCAGGCTGACCTTCTTTTTCAACTGTCAACTTCCGAAATGTCCTTATGAAAATGGCGGCAGTGCACTCATGGGTCATTCTCCTGAAGTTGGATCCTACGTCTGTGCCAAGAGCCATGGCTTTCAAACTTCAACACCTCCCGTCCCCCCTCTTCTGGTTGTAATATTGTACACAGTAGTTGACTGACAACTGTCCATTGTTACCTGAATACAGCTTTGAACCTAGATCTTTTACATGTTAGCATCTTGGCTGCTGAGAGCCTGTTGTTGTTGTTGTCCTCCTCCTCCTCCTCCTCCATTTTGTAGGTGTTTTTATTCTTCCATTGACTCAGTTAACCCTGCCTATTGGGGTCAGCTTTGGCTGAGAGGGATGAAGTAGTGTGGAGACAATTTTTATGGAGTATCTCTGACTCTCAGATGAGATATATTGCATCCCTCTCAGCTGGGGTTGGTCCTGACAGGTAGTTTCGAAGCTGGTGGCCTCATAAATGATTGAAATAGTGCCAATGGGGGCGCAAAACTCTTCTTATTTAAAATCTTTTCAAGAAAGGGCCTACTTTGGTTTGGTTGGTGTCATTTTTAAAGTCTTAGTATGAGTTTTAGGGCACCTGCAACACATTTAGGTCATGGAAGTGCCCCAGATTAAGGATGGTGTTACCAGAGAGTAGCTTTAAGGAAAAGGAGTTGAGATCAGGATGATAGATGTTTAATAGGAAAGAAGGAACAAACCACATAAGTTCACTCACCTCTTGGTTTTTGGGTAGTAATTATTTGCTATGAAGAAATAACCTAATTTGGTCTGTCTTTTCTCTCCTCCCCTCCTCTAATATCCTCTTGCTGTTGCTGCAGGCTACCATGTACCGGCGCAGTCAGAGCGAGAACGCCCCCAGTAGCGGCGACTCAGCCCACGTCATGCCACGCTCAATGTCCGAGGAGAAACCACAGAAGATGGACAGACCCATAGCTAAAGTCAAGCGTGAGTGGCCTGTTGCCTAACTGTGCAAAGCATTTTTAGTTTTTTAAAGGTTTTTAAAGGGTTTTTTGTTTTGGTTTTAGGTTTTTTTACTGGGGGGGGGGGTGTTGGATGTGTGTCTTTGTGTGCTAGGTGTGTCATGCATTATGTTAATGTGTGTTTTGTGTGTTTGTACATATATGTGCGTCATGTATGTTGTTGGATGTCTGTTCGTGTCAGTGTGTTGTATGGTTTTGGAAGCTTGAAGGCGCAGTCCAGGTGCTGCTGGATTCAGAACATTGATACACGAGTAATTGTAATAAAGATGATGATTATTTATATAGAGATAATGATAATAGTAATGACAATTATGATAATGATAATGATGCAATATAAACAGTAATATATCATGATGACAGTTATAATTATGTAATTATTGGAATATCAATTGTGATGAAAGTAATAATGCTGTTCTTCTGTTTGTTACCTTTCTCCATGTGGTTCTAAACATTTCTCATTGCTCACTATGACTGGAAAACAGGTACCGTACTGTTGAGTACAGAAATATACTCATGAAAAAAGAAAGTGTGCATAGACATCGAATATTGTACTAACAGACAAATTTTCCTTTAAGAATCTGTTTCTTTTGTAGAGGACACACACTTTAAAAAATGAAGAAATGAATAATTTGGCACACCAGCAGTGGAACTTTAGTTTCGGGGTGGGGGGGGGGGGTCAGCTCCCTGTTGCCGCTCTGGCTTGACCTAATTTTTTGTACTTTTCAACTTAAAAGTTTTTAATGTATTCTTAAACTTATGGTAATTATCATTTAATGCACTCAAAGCGTGCATTTCTTGAGACTAAAAAAATAACAGACAAAAACATTGTAACTTGTCTGATAATTTCGTTAGATGTGCTGAAGTAGTTACTGCTAGATTGTCAAATTTTTGGACAAGTGTGAATGAAAAAAATCAATATATTAAAAAGAAATTGCTTGACCAAATGGTTGAACTTTTGAAAAATGAATGACATAGCGTAGATGGAGATACTGTCAAAAGATGGTCTCTGTGCAGATGATAGAAAGATGTATTTTTGCACCTTTATACATCTGGCGCTCAATTCACTAAGAAGTAATTCCTTCACATACAACTTTATGTGTCAAATTTTTCATGAACGTTTATAAAATTTACACTGTGGTCTCTCTACAAATCAATTTTAGTGTCAGAATTTGTTACACCATAAAAAATGTTTACTTTTCTTAAAAGGCTAAGTCTCTAGGTTTTATAAGTTGATTGAAGAACAGGGGAAACATCTAGCAACTGGGTTTTCAGAATAAGTTCTAATTTGCCAATAACACTTAATCAGCACCAGACTTTCCCAGCTTTTATTTCCATTTCTATGACCATTTGCAAAGACTGACAACGTTCTGATTACTCTATATAGTGCCCGCGCATATTTCTGACACAAAAACTAAGAATGAATGTATTAGCTGTCATTGTTTATATTCCATACAAAAGGTGCGTCTCTACTTGTGTATTTACACAGTTCTGTGTTATCACAACCCCCC